GCCCTTTTGCAATCTGTGTGAGTCACGTGCCCTTGTGCAATCTGTGAGTCACATGCCCTTGTGCAATCTGTGTGAGTCACATGCCCTTGTGCAATCTGCATGAGTCACATGTCCTTGTGCAATCTGTGTGAGTCATGTGCCCTTGTACAATCTGTATCACATGCCCTAGTACAATCTGTGTGAGTCATGTGCCCTTGTGCAATCTGTGTGAGTCACCTGCCCTTGTGCAATCTGTATCACATGCCCTTGTACAATCTGTGTGAGTCATGTGCCCTAGTAAAATCTGTGTGAGTAATGTGCCCTAGTACAATCAGTGTGAGTCACCTGCCCTTGTGCAATCTGTGTGAGTCACATGCCCTTGTGCAATCTGTGTGTCACATGCCCTTGTGCAATCTGTGAGTCATGTGCCCTTGTACAGTCTGTATCACATGCCCTTGTACAATCTGTGTGAGTCATGTGCCCTTGTACAATCTGTGTGAGTCATGTGCCCTTGTGCAATCTGTGAATCATGTGCCCTAGTACAATCTGTGTGAGTCATATGCCCTTGTGCAATTTGTGAGTCATGTGCCCTAGTACAATCTGTATCACATGCCCTTGTACAATCTGTGTGAGTCATGTGCCCTTGTGCAATCTGTGTGAGTCATGTGCCCTAGTACAATCCGTGTGTCACATGCCCTTGTGCAATCTGTGTGAGTCACATGCCCTTGTACAATCTGTGTGAGTCACATGCCCTTGTACAATCTGTGTGAGTCACGTGCCCTTGTGCAATGTGTGAAGGAACGTGTGAGTGGGTAGATTGAGTGAGTGAAGTACCCTTGCACAAGTTACAACATGTTTTTGAGTGCTTTTTTGTTTTTTTCTCAACACTGCACTCAGCAATATTCCAGCTATATGACGGTGGTCTGTAAATAAATGAGTCTGGACAACATGAGTGTGTGCAGGGCCCTTGTACAATGTGTGAGTTATACAATGCAATAGTGCTGTGAATATATCACGGTGAAAGAATATTTTGCATCCTCAAGCCAAAGTCTTCCATAGGATAAGTTAACGTTACTTATTTGATTACCCTATCATCCTCATAAAACAACACAAAAATAAGTATATTTCCCAATTCCTTGTGGCCATGACGTTCTAAAAGATCAGGACAAAACAACAGTTTTTAATCAAAGGTAAGTAATAGCCTGCTTGTCAGAAACAAAGTGCTTGCAAGTTAAGCTGGCAAGGACATCCTGCTGAGAGAGTTTACTGTACATGCTATGACAACACAGATGATGAAGGGGATGAGGTCTACTTATGATGGTCACTGTAAGAATCATGTCTCAAGGATTCCTTTGTCATAATGCAGTCAGCGACTTGAGTAAATCTTGTCAAGTAAGACCCACTTTGGACAAGACAAACATAAATTCCTCAAAGCACCATTTACAAGGAATACTTGGGGTACATGATGTTATTTCTCTTAATGTAAGTGTTTGCCACAACCATATTAGATCAAAGGGGTCTTCATATGGGATTTGAAACCCGAAGTTCTTGGGACTAATCAGAAGAATACAAATACTTTCCTTGTCAAACACTGCATCTTCTCAGCATCAAAACGAGATTATACAATGAGAAAGAAATACTACAAAATTTCAATTTAAAACAGATGTTTCAGCAGTTGTGGAAGTAAATTTGGCCCCCTATGAATGTTGACATTGCTGTATTCCTTCATAAAGTCAACTAAATGTCACAAATTGGATCCACATACATACATATTCTGGTGGGCTTGTAAACCAAATATGCCTCCCAAGATTCAAACCTCACTTCTTTACACATTCTGGTGTGTGCTCAGGGGGTCATCTAGACCTGCTCTGAGGCCAATATTCAGTCCCAAGTCTGGAACAAGCGCAGGGGGTATTCTAGACCTGCTCTGAGGCCAATATTCAGTCCCAAGTCTGGAGCAAGCTCAGGGGGGTATCTAGACCTGCTCTGAGGCCAATATTCAGTCCCAAGTCTGGAGCAAGCTCAGGGGATTATCTAGACCTGCTCTGAGGCCAATATTCAGTCCCAAGTCTGGAACAAGCTCAGGGAGTTATCTAGACATGCTCCGAGGCCTATATTCAGTCCCAAGTCTGGAGCAAGCTCACGGGGGTATCTAGACCTGCTCTGAGGCCAATATTCAGTCCCAAGTCTGGAACAAGCTCAGGGAGTTATCTAGACATGCTCCGAGGCCTATATTCAGTCCCAAGTCTGGAGCAAGCTCACGGGGTTATCTAGACCTGCTCTGAGGCCAATATTCAGTCCCAAGTCTGGAGCAAGCTCACAGGGTTATCTAGACCTGCTCTGAGGCCAATATTCAGTCCCAAGTCTGGAACAAGCTCAGGGAGTTATCTAGACATGCTCCGAGGCCTATATTCAGTCCCAAGTCTGGAGCAAGCTCACAGGGTTATCTAGACCTGCTCTGAGGCCAATATTCAGTCCCAAGTCTGGAGCAAATGTCAGTAAAATTCCCCAAAGGGAAATATAAATATGTCAGTTCATGTTGATAGAGTTACAACAAATATTATGGCTTTGTAGAGGTAATTGTATATAACTAAAAACAGGAACAATAAAAAGGAAAAGGCTTTAACCCTTATTTTTACCTGATTCAAAGTTAAATTAGCTCAGAAGATAGGAAAATAACATCTCTTAAGAAATCCCAATTTCAAAAAATTATTATTCTTTTCCAAATTTGCCCAAAAAGGGCAATGGTTTAGAATCCGAGATAAATCCCTGGTGCTTGCCAGTGTTTAAGCAACTCACTAGCATTAGGTAGAACTATCATGTTGAATTAACATTAAAGTTCATTGATATAGTTCTACATGTATCTCAGTGGTCAGTTCTAATGTATGAATACTGTATTACAAATACAGAATCTACAGTCAATTGTCAGCCATAACAATGATTAATCACACTGTCTAGCTATCATGTACCAAAGCCGATTACGTCTTGTCAAACAAAGAGTAGATAAGTGTTCTGCATGTCTAGATGGCAAGAAACAATGGGCGAGAGTTTGTACATGATGAACATATCCGACCACCTGTCTACTGTACGTATTGTACAGTGCTGTACAGTGGGTGGCTGTGATCTTCCTGTACATCACCATCATGTACCTTATTTCCTTTAATAAGTGTTGGGAATAAAATAAGTGCCTGCCTTCAAAAAGCATTGGAGATGAAGTTGTGTACAACACAAAAACTGCCGTGTCTTGTAAGTATTAGGTTAACATTCCACACAGAGAGCTTTTGTTTCAATTTCACATTACAAGTACTATGTTCATGTTCGCTTTCCGTAATGAAATAAATTCTGTAGCAAGAACAAAAAATTCTATTTATGTCAATTTATTAGTGACTGTAACTTATGCAACACCATACTTGAAAAATTAGGCACCACTATGTATGTTGATCAAAGACTACATACCCAAACACTTATTAGAGGAAATACAGTATTGACAACTGACGGCATGTTCCAACAGTCCCTGGGCGGTCGGGTAGCCTAGTGGTTAAAGCGTTAGCTCGTCACGCCGAAGACCTGTGCTCAATTACCGACATGGGTACAATGTGTGAAGCCCATTTCTTGTGTCCCCCGCAGTGATATTGCTGGAATATTGCTAAAAGCGGCGTAAAACCATACTCACTCACTCCAACAGTCCCTACCTACCAAATCACCTCTATCAATAGCAAGTTACTGACTACAATTGTATAATATTTAGTTTCTGTACATCTCTACCCTGAGGCAATTAAAACAAGAGCACTGCTGATCAAGATCTAGCAATATGCTACTGTGGTACTGTCCTATTTTTGTCATGTCACGTTGATCCTATTCCACAATGGCACTAAAGGAAACAATATCATTATACCATAGCAGCCTGGCTTAAACCTGAAACTATTGATGCACTTGAAAATAACGCCTTCATACCAAAATTAGAAGCAATCATTGAATAAACAAGCACTGACAAGATATAGGAGTAATCTGATCTTCAGAAATGTCTTCCTTATGTGAATCACAAAGCATACATTAGCAAAAACAAAAAGGGGAAGAAATGTGATTGATTAAACTGCAATTTCCTCATAAATGATATATATGTACCCTAAAAATCAATCTCAATGTCATTAAGACAGCCATATGTTCGACAACAGCAACAAAAACATGCAAGCACACCGTCAGACATTTGTTGAGGCATAAAAAGAAATGTGGTTCTTCTCATTCCTTTAAACTGAATTTCCAGGCGCCAAGCCAGACAACGCTGTTAATATACATAACGTACCCAGGAACAGTACAATGGTACATGCAGGAAAATATACAATTACCTTCCTCCCACCTAAATATGGAAAGCAAAAACCTGTTCCTCTGCGGTTTTATTTGTTTCATGTTGTTTAACGCTGCACTTAGCAATATTTCAGCTATATGACAGCAGTCTGGAGATAATCAAGTCTGAACCAGTCAAACCAAGTCAGCGAGTCTGACCACCCGATCCCATTAGTTGCCTCTTACGACAAGCGAAGTCACCTTTTACATCAAGCATGGGTTGCTGAAGACCTATTCTACCCCGGATCTTCACAGGTCTGGGTTAGTCAACTAATCTGAGACCAGTAAATTGGTAACATTTCCTTGTGGTCTACAACTTTCACCATCAGCAGATGGCTAGTATGTAGCAGAATGGTGAGTGTGAGTGAGTTGGGTTTAACGCCACTTTTAACAGTATTCCAGTCATATCACAGCGTGTCAGCTTAATGTGGGAGGAAAGCCTGAAGTGATGCAGGTCTTAGACGTTAACCACTTCGGTGAAACCCACGAGCATGGGTATGCTGCTGGCAAACCTAGAAACATAATCGGGGCAAACCGGGATTCGAACCCACAATCATAGGTTTCTGGCGTGTCTAAGGGACGCAACTCAGCAAAGCGAATTCTGGCGCCTTAGACGACTGGGAGCAGAATAGTGAAAAATATATTCATTTTGTATCTTATATCATGCGATGTTTTACCTGTGAGCATGGTTTCCTAAGGTTGACACAGAGGCCATCAGCATCAGAACTGTAATGGTCGACCAGTTCCGAAAGAGATCTGAATGTTACACGGCGAGCGATGAAGAAACCACCCTCATCCAGCTGACGAATTCTGTAGTGCTTTACTGTGTCACCATCACGAACTGAAAAGAATTCAAATGATGTAAAGTATTTGTGAGATTATCAACTTTAATAGAAATGAGTAGTACTACAGAATAACTTCCACGGGTCATGAAGTAAACCCTCCAAAATGAGGTACTTGCATAATGAAAAGAGACAAAGGTATCAATGACATTTATTAAGGTACATGTGTATCAATTCGTTGTATGAATGCCAGAATCAATCAAACACTTTATAGATTGTAAAAAAGTCAAAAGGTTCATATCATGTTCTATTGTCAAAAGTTTAGGGACCCATAGATTCAAATATCTCAGGATTTTGGTTTTGTTGTTTTGTTGTCAACGCTGGACTCAACGCTATATGATGGAGGTCTGTAAATAATCAAGTCTAGGCCAGACAATACAGTGATTGACTTCATGCGCATCGATGTACACAATTGGGATATGATGACATGCATCAACCAAGTCAGCGAGCCTGACCGCGCATTCTCGTTAGTCGCCTTTTAGGGTAAACATGGGTTGCTGAAGACCTATTCTAACCTGGATCTTCCCCGGTTAAATATCTCAGAATCAAACCTAAATGACAAATCTAAATTTCAAACACAGCATATGGGCCCTACAGTAATATTTCCTTAGATAAGGCTAGATACTCTGACAACATATGAAACACATGGCTACAGATATAATTCTGAACCATTATTAAATTTTTGTACAATATTTTCTAATGGCAGATGTTAATATCCCAGCTGACCAAACTTCAATGATTAGACATGATTGATTTGAGAAATGTCAGATACCAGGATGTCCCCTTCGTCAGGGCATTACAACAATGCAGAAGAAACTCGGCCCTACACCTATTTTTGCAAACTTTGGCAAGGTTGAAATATTTAAAAGTAAACGTAATAACACAGGACTGATCAAACAAACCTTGCAAAAGAGAAAGAAAGAGATTCCAAAGCTTCAACATTTTAATTTGTCATGGCTATTTTTCAGATTGATTTTTCATCCAACAAACAGATCATCATTTTCAAACCACTGGTATTGGTCATGAGGACATTGTCTGTATGTACACATGGTAGGCTTTTTTATACTTCTCTTTCTACACTGAAATGCATAGAAGAAGAAAATCAATATCTACCATTGTATATGCACTGTATGGGAATGCAGCGACAGTTGATGCAAACAAGGAAGGGTTGAGATCACACCGTGAGTCAGTCAGCAATATTGAAGTCTGAATCATGTTGACCTGTCATCAAGTCTAGATCAGACAACTAGTGGTTAATATCATGAGCAACAACCAGGTCACAGCCAGGTCACAGTGTCAAGCCTGTTGGTCCTTCTTCAAACACTTCCTACTCAGCAGGCACCGTGACCATCAGATGCCTGGTTTAATGGGCTCTTATCACAAACATGGAGTACTTGGGACATATTCAGCACTGCAAATCCAACACACATAACTGAGTAGAGAAGACTCAGCCTTGCTCTCGCTGTGCTCACAACACCAGTGCCCAGAAGCATGGTTGGAACGACTCATGGATGTAGCGTGAGTGTGGAATACAAAAACGCAGGCTTATCCTTTGGAAAAGGAAACTGTCAAAATCCATGGTTCGGAAGTTAACTGTTCAATTTTGTACAATATTTCCACCTGCACCATAGAGTGGCCAATCTTGGTTTGATCTGGAGGCTTTCATTGCACTGTTAATCACAAATGGGTTTCACTAAATTGCTAAGTTCTATGGTCTAGTATGCAATGCTGGGCAGGTCGGTCATGGCAGAGGATGCCACCCACCTTTTAGTTTTAGTACACAGGACGCAGAGTGAGTGAGTTTATGCTTTACGTTACATCGGCAATATTTCAGCCATATCGTGACGACACAGTATGCAGAACCCTGTTAAGTGGTGTACTCGATGCTGGGGGGGGGGGGGGGGGGGGGGGTCCAAGTCACTCATTTCTACGATGGCAGAATAAAAATTAAAAATAAATAATTTCAAACCAAAAAAGTTAATTGAGTGTCTATGTTGATTCTGCCACCTAGTGTGAACACAAAAGGGTCAAGGCTGAAGAGGTTCAGTGTCCTCAACCACCAGAAACTGCAGACATGGAACAAAATCTCATAAATCTCTCGTCATGTGGAGTGAAATGGCAGCACAACAGATGTATCTCACCCTGTGGATGCGGAGGTATGTAGTTCCTGAGTAAGGTCATGAAGACATTTTTTTTCCTCCATTGGTGGTGTCAAGCGAGGCTGAATGTTGGGTTTTTTCTCTCCAAAAAGCACAAGAATGATATTTTTTAAACTTAACTTAACAATGTCTCCAGGTCACATGTAAAATGAAACAGAATCATGTCACCAAGACTTGTTGCCTCTGATAATGGGTGCTCCTCCAGAAAGTTACAGACTGAATCTATTTTGCAGTTATCTTGTCTATATACACACTGATCATAAAACTGCAGCATATCCTATTCTGGCAAATCACACCAGTGAGTGAGTTAGGCATAATGCTGTTCTGAACAGCATCCAGTTATATCACAGCATGTCAAGCTTAATGTGGGAGTGAAGCCCCAAGTGATGCAGGTCTTAAACTTTAGCACTTTGCTGAAATCCCCGAGGATGGGAACAGTGCTGCCAAGCTCAAAAACAATTTTGGGGTGAACTGGGATTGGAACCCTGAGACGAATGGGCCAACTGTGTCCTCTCACAACAATGAGTGATGTGATGTCAGTCCACTGTAATTTTACATGATAGGTCAGGAGATAACCTGGGAGGGAGAATGCAACATTCAGGCAGCAAGGGTTGGGAATCTGGGCAAAACATAGCAGACTGTTATATCCTTGCAGATACAGGATTCAAACAAATGATAACCAGATCCTGGCACATTGAAGGGAGGTAATTCTGCACATTTTGGCAATCAATGTACTTAATGCTAAATGAGTAAACGATTTTACAGCTAGACTAAACCACTCATCCCAAACTAATCCAAAAATAGGTCAAGTAACGAAAAATGTCACATGTTGGCTGAACACAGAGCATACATCACGGACAAAGTCATTTAATATCATAAACCTGGATTAACAAGTAAAATAGACTTGTAAACTTCCAATGATCTACATCCTTACCATTTCTCACTCAAATCAAAAGCCTATTACGGTAGTTTGTGAAAGTTTCTCAAGTTCAGAAGTACAGATTTGGAGATTGCATGATGCCTATATACATGACCTTGTAGGCAACTTTCCCAAATGGATTGCTGCTCAATCACATGCCATAAAACCTTAATCAGTGAACATTTCCATTTTTATCAATTAACTCTGCTGTGGGAAACAAGCAGGACTTTTCAGACTCAGAACAATGCAAGTTCTGTTGACAATGTTGTGGTTCCCTTGACAAGCTTCTCTGATTATTGAACATATGAACAATATGGTCCATTGTGCCCAAGATGTGATTGCTGGAGAGTTTACTGCCTGTGAATTAACAGAACTGTTGAGAATTGGCTTCAGTATTTTTCTTTCATTTATGCAGGTGTGCACACCCTTTTTACCACCATAAACGCCAAATGATATGGAGGTCATTTCTTGTAAATTAATTAGGAAAGAATAATAACATCACAGATAACCTAGCTCTATATTGAAAACACTATGTTTATAAGGGCTGGGATGATACACCAACATGTGCGATCTGATACATATCACGATACCTTGTTCACGATCCAATATGTATCATGATACTTGCATGTGCTCTTATCTGTGGTGCGTAAGCCATCTTTTTAACAGACAGGGAGACAAAATACCTGGCACACTGATGATTTACAGTTGGCAGTGTCAAGTATGGCACAATGGATGAAAATAGTTCCTTTTTCACCACTAATTTTCACTACTAATAAGTGCTTGGTGTAACCGCCATTTAAGTAAACATTTAAGGTATGAATCAATATTTTTTTACTTAGTGTTCGACTGTGAACAATACTTGTATCAGGAAGTAAAATATCGCGATCCACCAATGCATCGGTGTATCATCCCAACACTAATGTTTATCACCTAACTGTTAAACACATCTTTCCTTCTTGCTTCCCTGTGTTTAACATTTTTAATTCAGGTAAATGTTCATATTGCATATCCTGGTCTGGCCTGTAGTCATGTAATGATGTAATGATGACTACATAGTATGACACAAAACTCATTGAAAGGACAGACAAGGAAAGTTGTCTTTGAAAAGACCTATTACTGCCTCTAACAGTTGTAAACAATTCCAATAGAAACAATTTAGGAAATGCATTCAAAATGTAACAAAACATCTTAATCTCAAATACCCAATAGAAAATTATGCATCAAATGGCTGAGAAATTTACACTGGACTGGTTTGTCATGATAGGTTATGATATGATATGATATAATACGATGACACTAGGGGTGAACAGATACAGCAAGGTCATAATACGATACATATCACGATATACAATATGATGCGTATCACAATGCATAAATTTACATCAAATCGAAGGAAAAATCATGACAATAAATATTTCAGAGCAGGTTCAAAATGAAAAGCTAGCTGTAGACACATGTTTGAAGCGGCTGTTTAAGTAGTGAACTTGAAACACTAAGTACAACACATTTTGCGACACTCGATTGACAAAAACATTGGGGGTCATTAAAAGAGTATGTATGTAGTATGTAATTCATTTCAGCAAGAGTATCATCTTGCATCATGTACCGTATCATTACATGAAAACTCTCAATGCACCGGTGCACCAATTTATCGTTTCATGCCTACATCATCATGATCATACATTACTGCATCTCCAAAACTACAAATTCAATACCAATGAAATTCTAAGGATGCAAATGAAAATAATTACTAACATTCTATCTTCAATTTAGTAAATAAAACCATAAATGTCAATACTGGATAAATTAAAATGGGGTATCAGGGGTAGAAACTAACATTTTTAGTCAATTTGTCCTTAAAATGACATATAGCAAAAAACAAATAAAAATGGCAAATTTCTACTAGTCCTTAGGATACCTTAACTATTGGGCAGTTTGGCAAGGACTACAGGACTAGTGCCAATTTCTAATGCTGGGGTATGTTCAAGCTAATTGGTCCTAGCAAGCTTGATTCAAGAAATTAAAAAAATAACTGGAAATCTTCCTGCTTAAGCTGAAGTATAGGATGTGCAATAAACGTGTTGCTACTACTGAAGCAGACAGCTGTCACATGTAAGCCTATTTGTTGCCATAATCAAGCTCTGTCTATTTCCATCCCAGTAGCTTCCTACACAGCTCGCAGTCTTGTATGATGACATGTTTACTGCAAAGTACTGACTGCTACTCCACTGTCTGCATGAAGAGTAAACATTGACACCATCCAGTGAGATTGTCACACTGAATAGAGATCTATGTTCAACTGCAGGCTACGAACATCATCAGTATGTGGTGGGACCGCATTCTCATAAACAAACCACAAGTTGGCATAATACTGAACAATGCCTACAGATGTGTGTTTATCTTATCAGGAAATAGTACATGAAATATTCATGTGTCTAATAATATGATCACAGTTTTGTCTACAAATAGAGTATAAGCCCAGCTCTGGCCCAGGGTCAACAGTGATAGAAAGTAACTGTTTTAGTCCACTAGTCCTTATAATGATAACATATAGCAAAACCCTTAAAAATTCACCTACTAGTCCTTAAAATACCTTCACTATTGGGCAATTTGGCAAGGACTATAGGACTAGTGCCAACTTCTAAGCCTGTCAACAAAGATAAACGCAATTACATCAAATCCCACTTGTCATAACCAGTTATATGAAAACTGAAAAAAATAACTATATAAAATGGTCTCACATCCAGAATGCTCTACTTATCCGGATTTATTGTATCTCGAATTGCACAGTGAATTTCAATGACCAACAATGAAATTACACACGTTTATGCTCTACATATGTTGCTCGCTTTTAACCTCTCATCTCAATCCTGTCTTTCAACCAATCAGATTGCAGCCTACACTCTCGTTTGTTTTTCAATTATCATTCACAAGTCACGGACCCACTGACCTCCATATCAAGGGACCTCCATACGTTATCAGAGCTGATACAGGCCGAGATGAAAACTGGAAACAACTTATTGCCTATTTAGTGACACATGATTAACTATTTGTAGCAGGAATGCTCCTTTTTTAAAAAAAACCACAACATCAATCATTCTTACCTGATAATGAATAGTCGTTTCTTCTACTTTCACTGTCACGAATTAAATATGCCCCGTGTTCATTTTCTGGCGATAATAACTTCTTCTCTGCTTCCACTCTCTTGATTTTACCGAAATACCATCTGAAAGACAAGAAACATGAAAATATATAACTTTAATAACTGCCATGACACATCAAACTCTTCATTAAGACAACATGGACATCTCCATGCTAACCCTATAATCCATCTTTACCATTCCAACATTCACACGAGAAGCCACAGGATGCTGTTAGTTTTTTAACCTCCCCCTAAAAACATTCAAACCAAATGATGTTTGACTATTCTTAAAGAAAACACCTTTGTTTGGAAACGTGTCAATGCGCAAACGACCTAAACACATCTCAAACATTTGAGACAAAAAAGTATTTATTAAACAAGGCATAAGTACCTTCTGAATCATAGCGTGAAAATACAGATATGCAAACAAAAATTGCAATGACATCGGTATAACAAAACTATGTCTATTCACATGTATGTATGGTATTTAAAGATCACTGAAAGGTTCGCCTTGAACTACATACAAACGTACACAATAAACAAGCTTCAATTATTCTTTTGAGCAACTAGTAAACAGGGACAAGTGGAAGAGATTGCCACAAATATTTGCAATGTCTCCATCGGCTAGTGCGAACAAACAGGAGAATATTTCTACCTTTCTGTCTGGGCCCCACAGCACAGCTTCAGGTTGGGCCTGAACCGACCCCATGTCCAGGGCATGTCTTATTCAACACAGCCTCTTTCATGTATTTAATGTGCTTCTTGGAATCGCTGCCTCAAAAAAGTGTATAATGTGTTTCATCGATATTCACCTTTACAGCTGAAAATCTGGGTATCGTCCCCGTATAACATGCACAGCTTGAAATTACTACATCATCTTGAAAAATCAATTCCATAACCATATTTTTTTCCGTGACCTTATTTTTCGTTCGTTACACTTTCAAAAACTGAACTCCTAATATATCACTGAGCTTGCAAGATATCTTCTGAAAAACCTAATGTATATTCATAGTCATACATCTACATGTGATCTAAGAAAAGCATCATTTATACCTCAAACATCACCTGCACACCTGAAACCTTTCTTAGCAACTTTTTAAAAATAAAATATACTCTCCAATACTCAAGTAATCATCACAAATACCTTGAAATATGACCTGCTCAAACATCTTTTAATATACAGCTGTAACCTCACGGAAAACAGTATACTTCATAACAAATCCCAGTCCTCTGTAAAGCACAACATTGAAACCAGATCGCCAGGGAAGCTGTCAACATGCAGGTTCGCCTTTCATAAATACAATGAACAGGAAAGGTGGGACGAACAACATACAAGGTGGAGTCTTTAAACAAGGTAACAGATGTACCTAGCTGGAACATGTACTGCGATTTGTTTAGCTGGAAAAGTAGGAACAAAGAACTTGTTCCTGAACAGATCAATTGAAATATTTCTAACAAGATTCCACAGAATGGTACGCCATTGTCCACACCTAAAACATGTTGAATATTTGATTGATATTGATTAAAACCCTGATGAACAAATCTTGTCAACAGCCTACTAATTCTTATCAGCTCGACATGTACACCTAAACTATGTGTACCTATTTCTATGGTGGTGTACAGCATTAACTAGAAATAAACGAAGCATACATAGAAGGAAATAGGCAAACAGTGGAAACATCACAGCAATGATCATATCCAGTTGGAACATGGCCTTGAGTCAACTGAAAACAACTGCAACACTATCAAGCAGTATCCAATATCATGCCAAGCAAGAGAGCCTGGTGAGGTTCAGTGAGATGAAGGAGCATTTGACTTGGACACCTGATGAGCAGGTCTGCTGATAACGCTGCTGCAGATTCTGTTTATTATCAACAATTAATTTCTACACTGACAGAGTTATCTTGTCATGTCAAAAGTTCACATAAAACATGCCTGAAGCAGACATGGGTGATTAAGAAAAGGTTCAATCTGACTGTCTGATGCCCAACCTGCAACTGGTGAATAAGGCTAGTGTTTATAGCTCCAGGAACTGTTATTTCCACAATCCACACTGGAGTGATAAAACAGTCCTCTTGAAATATCGATTTTATACAACAATTTGTTCCTTGACTCTAAAACCATGATTCCATTAAGTGAAAATACACAGAAACACGCACAGCTAGCTAATCAATAATTCCCCTTCCTACATATTCCTTTAAAGCATAAAAATGACAATTTCTGAACAACTAAAGCTACACAATATCTCAAAGGAATAGCAACATGAAGGAAAAGTAATATCATCATAATCATACACCTATCAATTCCTTGGTAAGAGAGCTTTTCAAGTTCAGATTCAAAGGCAAACAAGCACATTCCACAGAAAATACCAGATTATTAGACTAACACTGTCATCTGTTATTTGGTAGTTCCATAATTACTGAACATCAAAGATGAAAATCCTCTGATCAAGAGTATTGCAAGTTACCATGGTTACATATGCAAAAATCAAGAATCATTTCACCATGGAATATCTGTGTTCCATAAGCTGAGAATCACCTTCCTTACAATTCCCCACACACAACTTGCTCATAATCCACAAATCACATCTGAAAAAGCAACAGGTCCAAAGAAGAAATCTTCAAAAATCGAAACAGGTTCTCAGTCCAGACACAATGTTCCAAGCGGCTTGAAGCCACAAGTCATCAAAACCCAAGACACCCAAGGCCGAAATTCCCACAAGAACCTGGGATAATCAAAACTCAACACAACCAACACAAAAGCACATCCCAATATATGTGCCAACCAGTCATCCGACCATTACAACAGAAGTGATCTTGAGAAGACGGTATGTATCTAGTCACTGTCCAGAGGTCGTTTACACATGAGGAAAAGCCACATGAAAGCAAGTCAACAGCAGGATCACAGTCACCACCTGTCCGCAGTGAGTGTATTGACCTGCTACAACTGCTCGTGTACTCTGTCCACTGACACTACACAAGGCAACAGTATCGCCATTGTGGACCAGGGTTTATAGGGAAACCATCATTTCCTTGGTAAACCAATTCGCTAGCTCTATGTTTGAAATTGAAAGTCAAGGGGTCCTTGGACAATGATATTGAGATTTGTTTTGTGTGTTGGAAGTGCAAACTCTGCTTTGCTTACAATGGCAGCTGATTACAACAAGAAATTATGTTGAGCAAGTAGCAAATTTGCAATCATTTCACCACAGTATTAGTGATATGGACCAATATGAGGAATGCAGCTGATGACCCAATACTCAGTTCCAGACAGGAGGGGGCACGGGTGGCCCAGTCGTCAGAGGCGCAGCGATTCACTGTGGAGAGTTGCATCCCTTGGGCACGCCAGAAACCTATGATTGTGGGTTCGAATCCCGGTTCGCACCAATTATGTTTCTAGGTTTGTCAGCACCATACCAGTGCTCGTGGGTTTCACTGAAGTGGTAAACGTCTGAAACCTGCATCACTTCGGGCTTTCCCCCCACATTAAGTTGACACGCTGCGATATGACTGGAATACTGTTAAAAGCGGCGTTAAACCCAACTCACTCACTCACTCCAGACAGGAAGCCACCAGTAAGATGGAATCTAGGTTAGGGATGTCATGACTCGCCAATACATCAGTGCAATGATCATGCTGACAATTTTCTAAGACAATATGCAGCAATAGAAACTAACAGTTTTAGTCAACTAGTCCTTATAATGATAACAAATAGCAAAGCCCATAAACAGGGCAAATTTCTACTAGTCCTTATGATACCTTAACTATTGGGCAGGGACTATAGGATTAGAGCCAATTTCTAACGCTGATATTATGATACACGGTACAAATTTACCAATACCAATTCATATTTAAATCCCATATCGTTTTACACATGAAACATTTACAACAGCAATGAAATGACTTTCTTGGCAAAATTGGTCATACATAGAATTTGATCATTATTAATTTATGCAATATCTACATTGGCACGGTGTACATAGCTTTAAGACTTAAATTCTGTTCTAGTCTTTCAACTGGTGTTAACACTACAGTTTTATCTGAAATTTTCATAAAATTGACTGAAATGAGACATATTTCTTTTCAAATAAGAGACCAGAAATTCAAAAAGATTCAAGGCTTTTTTAGGAGTGTTTATGCCCTATGAACAATGAAAGGTAAAAATGGCCGCAAAGTAAGTATTGCGAAACATATCTTATCGGGAGACAGTGTATCATGATTTCCCCCATCAATATTAAATGGAGAGGGTCATACGTGCAAAACTTGCATTTCGACAGCCTATTGTATAGATACATGCAAATATACTGCTATATCCATTGACAAATAGGATTTAATAGGAACCCATAGTCTGTGCCAAATAAATGACAATGTGATACACATTACATATCGGCTATTAAACATGCTGTTAAGAATGTCATATTTTGTGCTTTGAATTTGTATTTCATTCAAACCATCATTCTTCTTGAAGGTAGTATAAAACAAGAACTGGACCAGCAGTTGACACCAGCAAGGAGCAATGTTCCTCCAGTTGACACCGGCCCAAACTTGTCTCTTTGCATCTTCTGGAGGAGATATTCATGTTTATATAGGGACAAGCTCAGCTTACCAGACTGACCAACTTGTTCTAGACATTGGCTTTGAACTAGTGGCTTCAGTCATAAACTGTATTTGTAATAATTGAACACCATAGCACCAGTCATGTTCATGAGGCATGAAATATTCACTGTCTTTTAAAAACATGACAACCAAGAAGAAAATATTTGGAATGATGAAATATTTTCTTCAGTTTGAACTGAAAGTTTTGTAATATGATAAATACATGAACATGATCAAAACAAACTTACTTCAGTTTGAACTGAAATTTTTGTCATGATAAATACATGAACAATGAACATGTCTAAATCCCAAGGGTAGAGATTTGACACCCATACATAAACTTCACTTCTTTAGAATAAGAACTAACTTCTTTTGTCATGCTTGAAATTTGTCAATCCAAAATTAGCTCAGTATTCAAAAGCGATCCTAGATGAAGCTGCTGAGCAGATTTTACACAATTATCCGAGGCAAGTAGGCTAAACATGGAGC